TTTCAGAATGGTTACATAAAATACAACTTCTGGTACAGATGCAAAAACTACCAGCAATTTTTACATGTTATTTCCCTAAATTGCAGAATGAGGACCGTGTTCTTATCTACAACATCATCCAGAATTCTCTGAGAATGATCTCCTGATATATTATCCTGATATTTTAATGGCCTTTCTCGTTGATTTTCCATTGGCATGCAAATGTTGGATTCATAATAATGTTTTTCTTTAATTTTTTTTATTTTTTTATTTGAGAGAGAGGAAGTAACAGGGAGAGAGAGAGAGAGAGATTTGTTGTTCCATTTATTTATGCATTCATTGGTTGGATCTTTCATGTGCCCTGACCAGGGATCACACCAGCAACCTTGGTATATTGGGAAAATGCTCCAACCAACTGAGCTACCCAGTCAGGGCAGGGATTCATAACAATCTTAATTACATTTCACATGAGTTGAACATACACATCATAGACCCTTAACAGTTGATAGATCTCTTAGTTCACAGAAGTCATCCAATTCAAATTTACAAAGGACAAAACAGCCTTGTGGAGGTTAAGAGAATGACCTTTGCTAGGTCATACACTATTCCAGGAAGATTTAATACTAAAACTCTGATCTCTGGTTCCTAGTTCTTGGTAATCTTTTCACTATGTTTATAATGTGCTTATTTTTTCCTGTTATATAATGTAGATTAATCTAATTTTCCTTTTCTTCTTTTCAACTTGAGTTCTGAGTCAGCTAATCTTGATAATTATTGGGACAGGAAGCAAAAGACTAAAATGGTTCTGTAATCAAAGAAACTCCCTGGCTATGAGGAGAGATTCTATTAGAAGCATGTCCCCTAGTTACTGGGATCTTGCATCTGTTCTGTTTTCTCCACCCCCTTTGATTCCTGTGGCCCACTTTTGTTTCCCCAGCATAGTTCCAGGCTACCCAACCAGCCTTTTGACCATCACCTTTGTCTTGTTCTTTAGTATTTAGTTATTTGTGCAATTTATCTCTGACACATGGTGTAGCCTGTCTTCTGATTTCCCTTATATCTTGGTTTGTGCTCGTTTAATTGTTTTTTTTTTTTTCTGGGTGTTTCACTTCCTAGACTTGAGTCTGAGCTTTGCTATATTCCCTGTTTTCTTTATAATAAGTCAAGCACGACACTAAAATCCTGTGGTACCTAGGAAATAATGTGAATTTCATCCAGAAAAATCCTTAGGAATTTCCCGGCATCTATGTGGAGCTCCAGATTCACGCTGCAATCTTGTGACTGGAGTTTGAGATAAATGCCGCACGGGTCACAAAGGAAGCTTCCTAGATACAAGCGGACCTCTGTATAAAATGATTATGCCCTCCAAAGTTCTTTATAAGTCTAGGGGACAATTTTTAAAATGGCTTTATTTTTTAGAGCAGTTTTATTTTCACAGCAAAACTGAACAGGAAGTACAGAATTTGGACAACTTTTTTTTCATTGACTAACTATAAAGAAAACTTACTGTGATTTATGTTATGAAATGAAAGATCTGCCCTTAATTAATCTTTCGTGAAAGTCCACTCAGGAGCTTGCAAAACTAGATAACTATGTCAGTTACCGATTTATTGTCTTGCAGCTCCAAATCTGCCCTTCATTGTCTGCTCTGTGAAAATAGAGCTGAACCCTGTAATTGCTTCTCCCTTTCAGCTGACACAATGTTATGTCAGAAAAGAGTGCTGGAGGGATGCTGTAGAAGAAAGCAGCTTTTCTTCCTGGTTCCAGTCTTTACCCTTCCTGCTCCTACCACGTGTCTGCCAGCAGCAAGTGTGAGAGACACCCAGTGGTGCATGTGCCCATGGAGTTCCAATGGCACCACATAGTTTCTCGACAGATTTCAGAGGCACTCCCATGGTCAGATTCCCACTTGCAAGCATATCACTGACTGATTTCCAGCTTTGGCCTCCTGCACCCAAGTAGGGTAGTTCCTGCTTACCTGTTGATTGTGCACAAGATCTTCCTTAGACCATCTAAGAATTTCTCCACCATGCAGTAGGCCACAACCACACCTTCTACAATATGGTCTGAATCCCGACACAGAAAGGGGCGGGGAAAAAACTTCCAAATTTGTTTCTTCCATGGGAACCCTCTTTATCCCTGGGGTGTTCTTTATCCTTTTATGTAACAGATTTTCTAGAATGAATAATTTTTAATTTTAAGCTTTCCTATTCAAATTACTGTGTTGTCTCTGACCCTGATTGATACACTAATGTTGGATAAATAATTTTAATTTTTCAGTGTCCTCATTCATAAAATGAGGAGACTGGGTTAGTTGATCCTAATGTCCTTTCCAGTTCTAAAAAAAAACCATTATCACTCCAGCCAATGTGGCTCAGTTGGTCGGGTGTCATTCTACAAACCAAAAGGTTCAGTTCCCCATCAGGGCACATGCCTGGGTTTCTGGTTTGGTCCCCGATGAAGTGTGTGCAAGAGGCAACAGATTGGTGTTTTTCTCTCACATCAATGTTTCTTTCCCCCTCTTCCCCTCTTTCTAAAATCATTATAACAGAATTTTTTTTAAATAAAATAAACATTATCTTTGGAAATTCAGGGTTTTTTTCTATATAGGTATAGGAAAATTAAGTATACTAGAATGAATACCATATAGCACACTGTAACTCTGAATTGTCTATACCAGCTTCAGCCATAGTAAGTGGGTCTCCCTTCTCTTCTGAATAATATTTTCCTCTTCCTGGGTCAATATATTAAGTCACAACAGCATCTAGTATTATCTCATGGACACAGTGGGCAATCAAATACTTTGAAATCTCCTGTGAGGGTTTTAACTAGGAAGCTATCTAAGTAACAAAATTAAAAACTAGTGATTCAGGACTTCTGGCCAAGATTGAGGCATAGGTAGACACACTTTGCATCCTCACACAACTAAAGGAGGACAACAACAAATTTAAAAATGAAAAATAACCAGAACTTCCAGAAAACTGAACTGCAGGGAAGTCCAACAACCAAGGAGTTAAAGAAGAAACATTCACCCAGACAGGTAGGTGGGACGGAGATGGGTAGCCAGGGCAGAGAGGACATGCTACAAAACAGCAGTTGGAAGACTGGGAGTCCCACATTTGTGTGCATATAAACTGAGAGGAACAGCTGGGGAGCAAGAAATACTGCACAATCCAGGGTTCCAGCACATGAAAACAAAGCCTCAAAACTCCTGGCTGTGAAAACCTGTGGGGGTTGCAAGGGTGGGAGAAACTCCCAGCTTCACAGGAGAGTTCACTGGAGAGATCCACAGAGTCCCAGAACATACATAGACCCACTCACCCAGGAATCAGCACCAGAAGGACCCAATTTGCTTGTAGGTAGCAAGGGAAGTGACTGAAAGTGGAGTGAGAGCAGAGCAAGCAGCAATGCTTCCTCTTGGACCCCTCCCCTAAATACAGCATCACAATGCAGCAACCTGGGTTGCCCCATCCTGGTGAATACCTAAGGCTCTGCCCCTCCCAATGTAACAGGTGCACTGAAACAAATAAATATGGCCCAAATGAAAGAACAGATCAAGGCTCCAAAACTAGAACTAAGCAATGAACGGATAGCCAACCTATCCAATATACAGTTCAAAACACTGGTAATCTGGATGCTCACAGAAATGGTTGAGTGTGGTGACAAAATGGAGGAAAAAGTGAAGGCTATGAAAAGTGAAATAAAGAAAAATGGACAGGGAACCAACAGTGAAGGGAAGGAAACCGGGACTCAAATCAACAATTTGGAGCAGAAGGAAAAGATAAACATTCAACCAGAACAGAATGAAGAAACAAGAATTCAAAAACATGAGGAGAGGCTTAGAAACTTCTGGGACTTTAAATGTCCCAACATCCAAATCATAGGGGTGACAGAAGGAGAAAAAGGAAGAGCAAGAAATTGAAAACTTATTTGAACAAAGAACGAAGGAGAACTTCCCCAATCTGGCCAAGGAAATAGACTTCCGGGGAATCCAGGAAGTACAGAGTCCCAAAGAAGTTGGACCCGAGGAAGCACACACCAAGGTTGATCATAATTATATTATCCAAGACTAAAGATAAGGAGAGAATCTTAAAAGCAGCAAGAGAAAAGGAGACAGTTACCTACAAAGGAGTTCCCATAAGACTATGAGCTGATTTCTCAAAAGAAATCTTGCAGGCAAGAAGGGTCTGGCAAGAAGTATTCAAAGTCATGAAAGGCAAGGACCTACCCCCAAGATTACTCTTCCCAGCAAAACTATCATTTCATGGAAGGCCAGATAAAGTGACTCCCAGATAAGGTCATGTTAAAGGAGTTCATCATCACCAAGCCCTTATTATATGAAATGTTAAAGGAACTTATCTAAGAAAAAGAAGAAGATCAAAAACTATGAACAGTAAAATGAGAACAGACTCACAGCTACCAACAATTGAACCTAAAAAAAAAGAAAGAAAAAGAAACTAAACCATCCAAGAACTTCTCCACCATGCAGTAGGCCACAACTACACCTTCTACAATACGGTCTGAATCCCGTATTGTAAACAACTAGAACAGGAACAACTAGAACAGGAACAGAATCACAGAAATGGAGATCAGAGGAGGGGGGAAGAATGGGAGGAAAGATACAGGGAATAAGAGACATATATAGTAGGTACACAACAGACAGGGGGACACTAGGAACAGTATAGGAAATGGAGAAGCCAAAGAGCTTATATGTATGACCCATGGACATGAACTAAGAGGGGGGACTGCTGGTGGCAGGGGGGGTGCAGGGCAGAGGGGAATAAAGTGGAGAAAAAAATGGGACAACTGTAGTAGGATAATCAATTATATACATATGAAAAAAGTAGTGATTTGCATATAAATATGAGTTTAAAATACATTCTAATTTCCAGATTATCTATTTGTGAATAGAAGTATACATTAATTGTAAAAATATTCCCACTGATAGTGTTTACCCTAACACATGAGAGAAGATCCATTCACTACCTCAATCATCACACAATTTAGAATTTTTCTTTTACCTTTCTCTGTCTTTTACTGACTGTTCAGCCATTAATTTCTTCAGTTCTTCTAGACGCCGAAGGTCTCTCATTTCCATTTCTTGCCAGTTCTGTTCTTTTTCAGCCCAGTATTTCCTTATCTATTGTATAAATGTTACATAAAATTTAAATTAACAACAAACATAAAAACAAGGAGAAAAGTTATAACAACATTATCCATTGGTTCATATAGCAAAGATTGAATTTAAATAGCACTTCATCTTTTTCATTTATTATATCTGCTTGCAATATATTGGCAACAGGAAAAATAAATTAAAACACGAAGGGTCATGTCCTGAGAAACTCTATGGTTTAACAGTTTGGAAGTGGAAATGTAGCTTGTATGGAGACCTAAGGTTTAAATCTATGGCTAAGAAAATTGACTTTCTGGGAACCACAATGAAAGCATGTTATTGTCTCTAAAGTATATGATCTACCTGTAACTCAAGCATATTTTTATCCTCTTCTGGTAATGCAGCCTCTAACAAATATAGCATTAACCTATTTTTACTTTAAAAGCATGAGTTTATTTATGCTAATGGACAGCAGGATGTTGAAAGCTTTATGCTTCTGGGGAAGTGGCAGGAGATAGGTGGGAGGAAGGAAGAAAAGAAAAAATTAGCAGTGTTGTGATATACAGTAGTTCTGACTTATGTGGTAAAATAAAGGACAAATTTATTGAGCTCAAAAAGATGAAAGCATTATTCTTGCTAAGCCTGTTTTTCTTCCTTTCTCTGGAGGCAGAATGAGAAAACCAGAATTACACACATGCTATTTTCTGGGGGCTGAAACCATTTTTCAGGGTTCTCCCACTGATGCAGCTATTGAAATTAATGTTTGTTTTTCAGGGGCTCATTCCCCATTGTGGCCAGCCATGTTCTTTCTGGGTCAAGAGACTGGATCTTGCCAGTAAAGTGACTCCACAGAGGGTCTGTTGTAGAGGATGGGTTAGCCCCACCACTCCCAATATGGCAATTTCTCTTTTTAGAAGTGAATAGGAAAAGCAAAGTGGTTTTTGAACTTGCCCTAGCAACTTAGTTTCTGACCCCTGGGAGGACCAAAAGAAGCACCCAGAGCACCATGGCCACAGCCGCGGCGACCCTGCAGCAGAGCCTGCCACCCAGCAGGCACAGTAGAGACACCCATTCAACACTGACTGAAACAGCGGATGAGCTCAAGGTGAAAATGGTTCCACTCCAGGAATGACTGAGATCAGAATTTGGGGAGAACAGGAATGAAGCCAGAAAGGAGGCAGCACCAAAGATGGGGAGTGAAAAAGAGGGTAGAAGAGGGAGAGAAAGAAAACTGGCAGATAAGGTGAATTTCAGACAAATGCCAAGATGTTCGATTAGTGCCAGGTATGGAACTGCTAACAGGGATCATATTCTCTCCCTCTGGAATTTATAAATGATCTTTATTTTATTCTTAATACTTCTCTGTGTTACCTTATTGTTTGCAATATGTATTTCTTTCATAATCAGAGAAAAGGAAGCTACTTCAAAACTAAATTTTGAATCTAAAACAGAAATTAAAGAGCATTTTTCTCTGAGGTCCAACAGACCAATGTTTCCTTCTTCCCAGCATTGGCCTTGGAGGGAAGTCAGTGGACCTTTTGTCAACAATCCCTTGACTACAAGTGGACCCACCCAAGGCTGCTGGTATCCAGAGATTGCTGACACCATTTGGTGCTCTGTCCTGTGCAGATCCTAGAAGTATGTCACACCTGAGACTTTTTGACATCTAAACTCCAATTATTTCCATCCTTGACTCTCTGGTACCCTCAGCTATTGCTGCATCGTGAGTCAGTCCACTGTCTCTGTCTGTCTCTCTCTCCTGGTTTACTCCTTCCCAGTTCTTTCTACCAGGTCCTCTGAAACTCCTGCATCATCATACATTAAATCCTCTACTTCTTTAACCTTCTGAACACTATTCTATGGTTTTGACTAAAACTGGAATGATGCTCATATTCCAATGCCCCATGTGCCAAGAGGCTGGGAAATGGTTTGGTCATTTTCCTCCTTGTTAACTGCTCCTTTCACATACAATGCCTTCTTGCTTTGATGTTTTCACTAGTTGGTTATCACCCTCTACCTGTCCTAATCACTGGCCATATGTGTGTTTCCAGGTCACTATCAAACATTCACAGCCACACAGGGGTTGTTGTCTAAACCAACTCCTTCTACCTTCATCAGCAACTTCAGCATCTAAGTGCTCTTCCCACCTGCAAATCTCACAGTTCCATGACTTCCTACAGTCCAGTGAGCCATCTACTCCTCCAGGATTCTATTATCATCAAGAACCATTCCAGTTCTGAAATCTTTAATTAGAGCCATTGATCCTCTAGTATAGCCCTCATTACAAGGCTTTGTTAATTAGAATACTTGTTTCTCTCCCCCACTAGACAGCAGCAACTGATTTATTTACCTTGGCACTTCCAACAGCAATTAAAGTATATAGGACATAGTATACACCTAATAAACATTTGATTGATAAGTGAATTACGCATCTGTAGAAACTGGGACCATAGTATGGTTTCAACTGAAACTTCATCGACAATCAGCATTCCTTTAATGAATGCTGGGTCAATGCTTCTCAATTACTCATGGTGGCATTCTAAAACCTGTTTACTATGTTAATCTCTATGCCAGCCTCTATTCTTTGCTTTTATCAGAGGAAATGGAGACTAAAAGATAATTAATATCCTGCCCTCAAAAGAAGAGATGTCCTTCCCACTCTGCAAGACTTATCCCACACAAGGGTTCCAGGTCCTATCCTCCAATCCCATCTTCTCTGTAACCTTACTCCATAGTCCACCCCTCTCCACCTTGTACCTTCAGCCTTTTGGTCTTTGCCACTTCCTTTTCTTCCATGAAAATATACACAAATCTCACCCATTAACAAAAATCTAATAACTTTCTTTAGACTCCCAAGACTGTAGCAACACACCCTTCATTGTTCCCCTCTCTGTCAGGCATTTTATAATACTTATTGTTCTGCAATTTGACCTCTCCTATTTTACTCCTTATCCATGGCAGTCCTACATCTGCCTTTCACTCCAAATTCACTACTCTCACCAGTGACTTCCAACGGATCAAACCAAATGATCCTTTTTAATCCTTATTTTACATAATATATTCATGCTTTTGATTCTATCAACCTTATCTGTATTCTTAAGACATTACTGACTTTGGCATTCATTTGTTCAACAAATATTTATTGAGCACATGCTTTAAACCAGATATTGTACTATGTACTTGAGATATGATGTTTAAAGAGGAATAATGGCTTATGTCTCATTGAGCTGGGACTTTCTAGAGAGAAAAATGGGGGAAAGAAACAGAATATTACACATTAAGTTTTAAGAAGGAAATGAGTATGGTGTTGATTTAGAAAAATGTGGGTAGGACTATTAGAAGGCATATTTTTTAATGACATTTGGATGGAAACTTGAATGAGTGGCACAACCATGGGGAAAAAATGAACGGACACCTTCTTACTGAAGGAAACAAAAATTTTAGGTGCAGTAGCACTAAGTGGGAAAGACCTTTCATGTGTACCAAGTCACAAAAAAGCCAATGCAGCTGGAGCAAGAGGTTCAAGTTAAGACTGGAGGTGAGATCAGCAAGCTAAACAGGGACTAGATATTAGGCAAGGATATAGTCCTAGAAATAAGGAAAAGCTATTGAAATATTTAAACCAAGGAATGACATGATCTTGCTGATATTTTTAAAAGATAGCTCTGATTATTGAATGACAAATGGATAGTAGAGGACCAAAGAAGAAAGAAGGAGACCATATAGAAGGAAAAGGCAAAAATGATCACTGGGACTCAGGAGATGAAGTGAGATTGTGCCCTGGCCTCTAGACGAAGACCAAGCATAGGAATCAGGTGTTTAGAGGTGAGGTGTGCTTTTGGGTGGGGTGATATGTGCATTGAGGGACTGGATATGAAGGTTGAAGGAAAAAGGAATCAAGTATGATGCTTACATTTTTGCTAAATCAACTGGTTGCATGATGGTACCAATAACAGAGATGGAAGATTGGAAAAATAAAGGTTTCGAAAAGAATGACAATCAGGATCTCAGTATTAAACATTAAAGAGTTTAGATAACTATAAGACCTTTAAGTGAAGATTCCATATAAGCGTGTGGAGGAATAGATGGTGGCTCAAGGGAGGATTCAGAACTGAAGGTCTAAACAAAGGAGACATCCACTTATAAAAGTATTTGGTGCTGCAGGACTGAATGAAGTCTCTGGGGTGAGAATGTAAACAGAGAGGAAGTGGCCAAGCACTTGAATGCTTATCTGCCTTTTGAATATTTTTCTAAACTAGAATAACTTTATTTTCCTCTTCCACTTACCAATTTTACTCTACCTGTAAGACCAGAACAAAAGCCATCTCCTCCTTGCATCTTCCTCTGAACCCTCCAGTATCGGTTAGCTCCATCCTTGTCACACCAATAACCTTTGATTAAGGTTTATTACTTTCCATTCTTTGACTTTCTTGTATTCCCTGATTTTTTTTTCAGCAGGATCTGCCAGTGGATTGTTACTGATAAATTTTGGCTTTTGCTATATGCCTAGCAAGCTCTTTCCTGTGTTGTTGCCAGCTAAAACCCTCCTGTCTGTCTTTCAAGACTCAATTATAGCATCACTTTCTTAGCCTTCCTCCCTCCCCCTTTCCTCCAAACATAGCTAGGTATACCTTCTAAGGCACTATTTATGTATTCTTAGCAAAGCATTTTCCATACTGATTTGCATTATTCATCTTTGTATTTCTAATACCTTGTATCATATCTAACACAACAGGGCTTAATTGATCATTGTTAGCTGAGTGGAAGCTTCTTCTGGTCTCTGGTTCAAGAATAACTAAGTTGTAGATGGGAACCAGGCCAGCAATTTTATTTGCAGGATGATAAAGTCTGAACTAAGCACTTCCCTGAGGACAGTTCCATTCACTTTTCGTCAATTAATAGGAACAGGAAGTGTGTGTCAAGAATTACTGGCTTTGTAAGCCTCAAAGTTAAGCCTAAGTGTTTTTAACTAGCCCTTTGGGACATTTGTTAAAACAGATTTTAAACTCAATGTTTTTTTAGAATTC